CGCGGGCGCAGCATGGTTTGGTTCGGGGCGGGCGGGGGCGGGGAGGCCGGCGGGCGCTCAGGCCGGGCCGCCTTCATAAACCCGCGGGGGAGGTGACCGCCAGCGAACGCGCTCCCGCCACTGCACTAGCAAGGACCGCCGCTCTCGCGCCCGGACGGACCCTCCCCACGAGTGCCTGCAGGTAAGGAAAGCATGCTGCGCCCGCGGCTGGCTCGACTCCCACACGCGCGCTCCGCTGGCCCCCGCAGTGACTGTCCCAGTCACGGTGTGGACACGTGGAAGGACAGGCGTCCCGGGGACCCACGATCACTCGTTCTTCTCCGGCCCCCGCGCGCATCTCTCGGGGTCTGGCTGGATGATGGACGGGGCGCCCGCGGAGCCGCTGCCCAGGACCCATCCTCATGCTAAGCACCTGTTCCCGGTGTCCACGCGGCTACGTAGCCCAGAGCTGCGCCCTTCGTGGTTCCAAGCACTCTGTTCCCCTTGGTGTCTAAAATAGTTGGGGAGCATCTGGGAAGCACATGCTGGGATGCTTGGCGGGAGACATTGGAGACCGCGTTCTAGTGTCAGTTTGAGCGTGGGGGAGCCCAGGAAACGGAAGGGGTCTGCAACCGGCTCTGGATTGCGTGCAGGTGAGAGTGGGGCTGCTGCCTTGTCCAGCCTGGGTAAGAAAGGGTTAAAGGCACGGTCACAGCGGCAGGACCGAGGCGGAGGAAAACCTCATCCTCACCCCGCTTTGTCCCTGGTGAACCTTTTCAACACTAATGGGCCTGGGGGAGGGGGCCTTGCAAAGGACTCTGGGGTGTGCCTGTGAATCCTTGATTAAATGAGGGTTGGAGTGCTGATGCTGGCAGTCTGGAGGCTGAGGAGCACTGTGAGTTTGTGGCCAGCCTGAGCTACCTAGGGAGATTGTGTCCCCAAATCACATGTGCATACACATACATACATACATACATACATAAATGTAAAAGGAAGGGTGAGTCTCAGGCCTGAAAGAACTTTTGGGCCCCAAGAAGAACTCAGGCAGGCCCAGGTTCTCAGGCTGGGTGAGAATTAGAGAAGATGACAACTGTTTATTAAATGCCTACTATGTGCTAAAAGCTGCCCTGACACCTGGCAAACATCTCGTTTACAGATGGGGACAGCGAGCTGTAGACAGTGGAGGCAAGTGCTGTCAGGGTTTAAATCCGGCCGCTGACCCTGTTCCTATGCTCTCCAGCAGAGTTGGAGAGCCCTCTTCTGGCCCTCCTAGACTGGACCTGCCTCCCCGCATCTCTTGCCTCTCTAACCCCTGTCCATCTCTCTCTGCCTGCCTGTCCAGTTTCGAAACCGTTCTTGAATTCCCTAGGGGAGAACACAGCTTCTCAAAGGCCCACTGGTGGAGAGAGACAGGGCTGGGCTGGTCCCCATCCGTGTCGGTGATGGTCCCATCTATATCTTAGGACTACAGTAAATCAAAAGACCAAACAGGTCAGAAGAGTGGGTGCCTTCAATTCACACAAACTAACTAACCACCAGCTTCGTGCTAAGTGTTGTTCCAGGTGCTGAGAATGTCGCGGTAAATGACAAAATCCCTTCTCTCAGAGTGGACTTTGGCATAACAAAATTTTTTCAGGCTTTGAAAATTTGAGTGTCACCAGGCAGTGGTGGTGCACGCTTTTAATCCCAGAACTCAGGGGGCAGAGGCAGGCGGATCTCTGTGAGTTTGAGGCCAGCCTGGTCAAAAAAAGAGGGAGTTCCAGGACAGGCTCCAAAGCTACACAGTGTCAAAACTGCTAGGGTAGAATCAAAATGAGGTGTTTCTCAAAGGAAGGGGTAAAGATGTAACTAAAAAAGAGTGTCACCACAGTGAGGAGTCAGCACTCGGTACTGATGAAGATAGGCCATCTAGCTGTGTGATCAGCACTCGGTACTGATGAAGATAGGCCATCATCTAGCTGTGTGATCAGGGCACAGTTCTGGTCTCATTGTAAATGGAAGTCTCCTTGAGGTTGTTCAGGAGCTGGAGTTCACAGGCCCATAGAACCTGCTGGTGGGGCGGACTCTGTGTGACTACAGCTTGCAAGGTGTTTAGCAGATTCATGTGCGTTAGCAAACAGTGACTATTCTCAGCTCTGGTCTCAGCAGAAATTGCATCAGAGTTCATGTACAAAGTTATGTCATCGCCTCTGAACCCTGTGTCCCCGTCAACCACCTTTGCCCGGGCTTTGCCCCTTCCCGTGTGGGCTGTGCCGTGAGGGAGCATGCTGCCATTATTGTTACTCAGATGCCACCTCCTCCCTCCTGGACAAGCTCCAGGCTGGGCACAGCCCTGGGGTCTCTTGCTATCCACCTCCACCTCATTGCACAGACTAGTACCTGGCCCCGTCCTGTTCTATCCTGCAAAGATAGACGTTCGTGATCCTTTTCCGCATATGAAGGAACCTCTTGAAGAGCCAGTGGCTTGCCCTGGGACATACAGAAGCCATCTGGGCATCCGGGGCTGGGACCTACAACATCAAGTCCAGTGAGCTCCCTGCCATACCATTTGTGGGCTTCAGGCTTCTGGGGAAGGGGAGGTGGGGGGTCGACCATTACATAGAATTTAAGGGTGGAGCTTGAAGCTCCCAGCGCGACGTCGATCTGACTGGACTTATTAACACAAAACCCTGGAGCTGGAGGAGAGTATTGTGGGGCATGTGAGCCAGCCGGGCTGAGAACTGGTGCTCAGAATTCTCCACGTGGCCACAGGAATGCTGACTGAGCTCCCTCGCACAACAGCCCCATCGTCATTGGCACACCAGGGCTGGGCTGTGTGGTATGTTTGTTATTTTGGCTTTTTTTTTCCCCTCCCCTTCTTTTTCTGGAGCTGTTCTAACCTTCAGAATACAGTGGGAGGCAGTAGATTGAGAATTCATTATCTGTACTGTTGTGGCCCTTTTGGACCCTCCATGGCCTCATTGGTGATGTCAAGAGGTCATCATAGATACTTTGCAGAGTCGCTGAGTGTCCACAAGGACATAAGCAGTCTATCAACTTTAGACTTCACCTATATGGATTATTCTGGAGAATTTTATGTTCTCTGGGAGGCAGTTTCATAGCCCAAGGGGACAGAGCAAGGTCTTTCTAGGCACCATGACCTAGATGTCAGAGAAGGTGCTGGCTTGAGTCAGTACCTTGGCTCTAGTCCTCAGCACATGTGACATGAAGCCAGTCTCGTTCCCTCTCTTGAGTGTCAGAGTGTCAGCTCATAGTGGGCCCAGCATCATTATTTGATGCTCCATGTCCAAAGAACACTCCAAAGTGCTCTCTATATTTATCTGCCTTCTCATACCCCCCTTCACATTTTGTAATTGCTCCCAGAAAAAGTCCATGCTTAAAGTTTTCCATGCTTCAAACCCCGGCCTCGCTGCGGCATGAAATCAATTGTTTGCATTTAATTTAACTTCTCAAATGAAGGGGTAAAATTTGGGCTGAGGGTAGGGGCTGGGAGAGGAGATCAAGTTAAAGCAGATGTGTTTTTGTTTAACTGCAGGATGGTGGTTAAACTGCCCCCCATGTTATTACCATCGTCCCTTTTGAATTCCAGTAACCAAGAGTCGGGTTTCTCTAAAAACTGTGGTGTTCTTTCCTGGCTAGCGTGGACTTGCCCTCCCGGTATTATTATTATTATTATTGCTTTATAGTCATCGGAGGCCGCAAAGTGCTGGCTGGAGAGACCTCAGAGATGCCTAGAATTGTAGACCGGCCAGGCCTTCAGACGCTGGCTGTGTACATCCGGGTCTTTGAGGCCCAGAGTGGGAAAGAGGCTTGCCCAGAGGTATCCGGTGGCTTAGACTCAGCCTCCTGGCTCTTTGGATTTTCCGCAGGTGACCCCCACACTCGCCACGCCCCTCTTGGGCTTGGCTGTCACTTTCACTGTACGTCTTTAATTTGCTTTCATTTATTTATTTGAAGCAGAGTCTCACGTAGCCCAGGCTGGCCTTGAAACTTGCTGGGTAGCAAAGACACAGAACCCCACCCCCACCACCACCACCACCACCACGATTGCTTCCGTCAAAAACTCTTGAACTTTTCTGTC